ATGATTATAGCAACATGCTTTGCACTCTATTATCATAATTCTCTTTTGACATGTAATCGCAGTATATTCATTTCAAATAATATTTCAGAAATGTATGGCTGTGTTTCATTATCCAGTTATAATATTTCCCAAGGGCAGAGCTGGTGAATTATCGGGGGCAGAGCTGGTGAAACGTCATAAAGGAGACCCTAAGAATAATTAACGCCTCTCAAATACAGGCCCAGACATTTTTGGTCCTCCCCAAAACCTCTCCGACAAGCAACGGCCGGGAAACCGATCGAGTGGACTTTGTGCCGAGGTAATGAGAGTTTGTAAATTAATCGACACAAAAAATGGCTATAAAATCTTTTCTACTTAAGTTATATTATAAAAGAAATAGAAAACATTTTATCCTGTGTTTCTACACAGTTAAAATACTCATTAACAATTCATAAACCTTGTGGCAAATCATGTCAACCATAATATGTCACATGGAGTGACTTTATATCTGATAAAACTCATCTCCATTAGTATTCTTTATATAATTCTTCATCCTAATTAGTATGATTATATCATTGTTCATCCTAATTAGTATTCTTTTGTAGTCGTATTTTAAGCCATTCAAAACACTCAAACTCGCGTTTAATCATATCTAAAACGTTCGGCTGCCCCTCGCGTTTTAAATATGATAAAACACTCCTTCTCGTGTTTTAAATAGTATACATATAAGGCCTACTTTGGGGGCCAAGGTCGCCTAATTTCGCCTAATGTCGCCCATGTGCACCCAATTTTTGAACTTTTCCTAACAGTCTATTTGCTTAATGTCTCCTAATTTCGCCTAATTAAATATCGCCCAGTTTCGCCCAGCGACGCATACTTCTTTTCTTTGAAAATCGCCAATGTCGCACAATGTTGCACATAATAACGGCGACCTTGGCCCCCAAAGTAGTCCTCAGATATAGAAACACTTGTGATAGTTTGGGAGAACTCGAAATCTATTTCTCGTTTTCCAAAATTCTCATGTGTGTTTCTATAACTGTCTCCAGTCTTTGTTGTTTACGTTCATTGGACTCGGTCAATAAGATTTTAGTTAAAATTCTTCTCAGTCCGTGTGTCGAATCACTATATAGACGGTTGCGGTCATAATGTATTATTTGCGTTGACTTCCTAAAATGTTTCAATAATTAATAGTGCAGTTTCGAGTGCAGCTTGGAAAAAACATGCTCGAGTGGGTTTTTCAAAGTCAAAAACGATCACACTGTATATATATTGCATGAGTCCGGAGGACGAGTGCAATTTGAAGTCTTTGAAAAACTCACGATTGAATTTTTTTCAAATGCACGAGAAACCATACCCTATTACTTATTAATAATATCCATGAAAACATTTGCATAAGCAAATTCAAAGTCGCTAGCATGACACATATGCAAAACAAATTATTGACTCACTCTAAGTAACACAGAAACTTAATGCAACTTTTCAACTGTCTAAAGTCAAAATTTTATTGAGAATGGCTTCAGCCTTGAATTTCCGCACTATACATTGAATTCAACATGCGGAGTTAGCCAGTTATGTCTTCTGTCTGGGAGAAATTCTATATTATTGGGTGGACAGTTGGTAAAATAGAGGTTCCAGATTTGACTTCCACTATCTCTAACTGCTTAGTCGGCATATGATTGGTTAATCGAATATATGAAACGCATCTAATTGGTCGATGGTCCCTTAATGGTAGCGAGAGTGGAAGACAAATCTGAACCTCTCTAAAATGTCATGAAGATTAAAGGAAAATTCCAAAAATAGTCGACCCTTTCAAATATCGGCACGAAAATCTTAATCTTAAATCTTCCCCAAAACCTTATCCCTCCCCTGGCCCTGATGTGCTTCCTTCCTTATTCATTCTTGGATATTTTTCATGAAGGCAATTAGCCTTTCTCATGCCGCCATTTTTGGGTGGCATTTCAGCCGAAGTCTGCGAGATAAGTCCACATAATAGCGACTTTTTATAATTTTTTGGACAAATGATGGTAAATTTGCTTTGTAAATGGTTAGTTTATTTTGAAAAATTGCTTTTCACATTGTTTTAATTGTCTGCATTCGTTCACAAATATGCCACGCAAAAATGGCGGATATTCGTCATCGTGAGAAAGGCTAATTAATTTCAACACAGCTAATTTCGACAGGCTGACGAAAACCCAGACATATACAGTATAACTACATTGCGTTGCGCTGCCCCTTGGAGCATATACAGAAAATAAGAACACCACAAGCGAGAAGACATATACTATTTCTGAATAAATATATACCAAGTCATACACCGAACAAACTGACACACATTCACAAACTCAAGCAGCGAATATTTTTGAAAGCGAAACTTCGTTTGGGCACCGCAATTTTGAAACTAGATGTCAAGGTTCAATTCTATTAATTTTAGCAATGCACTTGTGAATGAAATTCCAAATTCGAAATTTCTTAGAAGTTTCCTCACGCAATTATGACGTTGTATTGCCTAACACAGATTGACTGATGCATGGCACCTCCATGTTCATATCTGTAGGGTTTCATCAACTGTTGAGAAGTCTGGAATAAGTTATCACCTTGTAACGCCAACTGACTCGCAACAAGTTGTTTCAACCAGTCTAATATTGTCTGCGTGCAGGTAACATATTGTTAACAATTGCTTGGTCAACCGAATTTATATGAGACAGTTCATTGTATTATAAACCGAACTATTTATAAAGTTTTTATTTCCCTCCAGTCTTGGCTGTTTACGTTCATTGGACTCGGTCAGTAAGATTTTGGTTAAAATGCTTATCAATCCGTGTGTCCAGTCACTATAGGCTGTTGCGGTCATAATGCACTTTTAGCATTCCTAATAATTAATAATTAATAGCATGGTTTCGAGTGCAACTTGAAAAAACATGCACAAGTGACTCTTGAAAGACGATCACACTCTATTACATGAGCCCGAAGGACGAGTAGACTTTTTTCCAAATTAATAATATACTTGAAGAAATTGCATCAGCAAATTCAAAACTCTAAATAACATAGCAACTTAATAAAAGTTTTGAACTGCCCAAAGACAAAGCTATATGTATACTAGATAAAACATGAGCGGCCGATCTGTATCTGACATATCCCCCTACGCTCGGGGGATTCGGCGATATTTCCCTCAGAGAAGATATTTTCCTCGGGGAAAAGCCCCTTGGAAAATATCATCACTTCGGGAAATATTACGCCGAATCCCCTTCGCTCCGGGTCTATAAATGATAAATATCCTGCTAGTAGAGAACCAATCAGATTGGAGAATACCTCATACCCAGACCTTGTGTATACAGCCATCTCAATTAAGGTTGTCCACGAGCAAAGAAGAAAAGTCGAATACGAGCACGAAAGGCTGCTGGGGATCGCTAACAAATTAATGAATTTTCAAAGCGGTTACCAGCAGCCTTCCGCGCTTGTATTCGACTTTTCCGCTTTGCTCGTGGACAACCTTAATTGAAATAGCTGTATAACAATAGGTGTTAGTCAATTGCTATAGCGAGCCAATTAGATATACTTTTCGTAGACCTTCGTAATATCGTTGACATAAATTAGTAGAAGCAGTGAACCCAATATACTGCCTTGAGGTATTCCAACTTCTAATGGCTCATGCAGAGATCGGTTGACTATTATTAACAAGTGTGGCTTGCGTACGGTTCGTGAGATACGACTTGAACCAATCAGTTTACAAATGAGAATGTCGTGGCGTACAGTGTCAAAAGCCTTTGAGATGTCCAGGAAAACCGCTCCCGTTATGTATCCCTTATCCATATTTTCCAACACCATGTTTGTAAATTGGGCAAGTGCCGTGTCAGGGAAACCATATAATAATAATAATAATAATAATATTATTATTATTATTATTATTATCCCTTATCCATATTTTCCAACACCATGTCTGTAAATTGGGCAAGTGCCGTGTCAAGGAAACCATATTATTACTTATTAATAACACACATGAAGCCATACTATTACTTACTTATTAATAACACACATGAAGCCATACTATTACTTATTAATCATATACATGGAAAATTTGTATAAGCAAATCCAAAATCACCAGCTTGTATAAAACACATACAAAATAATAAAGTCACTCACTCTAAAAAGTACAAGTCATACAACTTTATACAAGTTTTTAAAACTTTACTCAAAATCAAACTTTTGCTCACGTATTTGCTACGTATTTCTTTTTAACACTCAATTTGTTTGGCACTGTACTTCGATAAAATTGCACTGCTCTTAGAGTCTTAATCAATCAAAATTCAGTAATTTTTTTCAGGTATATTATGATCACAAAAACATCTTGAAAATAATTTCAAAATGTATACAGACCTTGCATGTTAGACTTAATTTCGAATCGACTAAAAGCTTGCATGCATGTACACCAATGCGAGTTATTTTCAAAACGGGTGAAAAGTTCAATAAATTGAATTCAGCAATGTGTTTATGAACAAATTTCCGAATTCGAAATTTCTTGGAAAATTTCTTGGAAATTTCCTTACGCAATTATATGTCTTCTATTGCAAATTGACTAAGGGCTACACTAACTGGGGTAAGCTAACACAACATATTTAAGGGTTATTGAAATATTGATGCTTCGTTTTTTTCTTTTTAAATACTAAAAAAATGCACTTGTTCCCATTGGTCAATCGAATTTATCCAACTCGGTTACCTCATTAACAATAAATAAACTGTGGTATTTGGAGCGCTCTTCATTTCACTCCTGCTTTGGCTGTGTACTGTGCTCAGAACGATTTTAGTTAAAATGCTTGTGAGGTTTTTAATTCTTCTTGTATTTGTGCTTGGCGCGGTTTATGCACAAACGCACAACTGCGTATATGGTTATAAACCATCAAGTCACATTGGTAAACTTCGAGTTCCAATCACTTGCAATCTTCAACAGTTGGACTGCCCGTCTTCTTGGAAATCTGGAATTCCTGAAGGCAGCGAAACATCTGCGCCAATGATTTACCAGAAATTTCTGAATTGTCATGAAGGTTTTACTTCGTGCGGATACGTCCCGATCGATCCAAAATCTGGCGAAATTCTTGGAGAAAGTGGCGTTACGGTTGGCGCTGGTGTTGATCTCGGAAACAAGTCGAGGGCGTCTTTGACGTCATTGTCAAGCACATTAGTTGACAAACTTGAACCTTACTTTGGTTTGAAACGAAATCTCGCTGCTTGTGCTGTAATTGAACGTCCTTTAAGCCTAACGCTGGATGAAGCAAACACTTTAACTGATGCTGTTACAAATGGTGTGGTTGAAAAAGTTTCAAAAAGATACGACAGCGATAAAGATGAGAATGCGCTGGTGTTTGCATCAGTTCCTCGCGGTATTCGTACAGCCATTGCTAGCGTTTGGTATCAGTTTGGTTATCCTTCAGCGTATCCAAGGTTTTGAAATTTCGTGACGAAAAACGATTGGGACAATGCGATAAAAGAATTGAGAAATTTCTACAAGAATCCCAAGGAGCAGGCTAGGGGAGATTTGAAAAGACGAAACGACGAAGCGGACATAATTGAAGCGACTATTGTGGAATGCAACCGCTCTGTTGACGTTGTTTTCTTGATAGACGAATCTGGCAGTGTTTCGCTCGCTAACTTTCAAGAAAGCCTCGGTTTTGTAAAGAACATGACAAAAGCATTTCCCGATGAGAAACTCAGCGGAAAAGATGGCACCAGATTCGGTTTGTCCACATTCAGTTCCAGCTACACATCACATTTCTATTTATCAAAGTACACAAAGCAGTCAGATTACCTTTCCGCAATTAGTCGAGTTTCCTACGCCGGTGGAGGTACCTATCTTGGTCGAGCTCTTGAAGAAATTTTAACCGATCAATTCAACGAAGAACGAGGTCTGCGTCCAGAGGTAGATGGCGTACCTCGTATTTTGATTGTTCTAACGGACGGTGGCGCGAGCGACGATGTTTCACTCCCAGCAAAGAATGTGAGAGATGAAAACATCGTTATTTATGCAATTGGAATCGGCGGGTATAATCTTGAACAACTTAAAGGGATTGCTTCTTCTGAGTCACACGTTTACACGCTGTCTACTTTTACCGAACTTGAGATATTTATTTCCACGCTAACGTCATCAACATGCTATGAACCCCGCCCTGCGTCCCTCAACGAGACAATAATAACAGATATTGAAAAGGACACGTATCTGTATTTCAGTTACAAAGTAAAGGAATCTTCAAACCTCGAAATCAGTGTAGTCGATTTATCTGGTAGCACGCTTGTTTACGTCTCTCGCACCAATCCTCACCCTTCCAAGTTCGACAATGACTTTTCCTTCGACCTTTCACAGCAAAAGACCAAAATCCTCATCATTCCAGCTCAGCCCATACCAGATACACGGAGAAAACGGTCAACCGACGACGACGACGAGCTCACACGACAAATCTATGTCTCGGTAACTTCCGACACTGAATCAGCTCAGTTCAAAATTGAAGCCAACGAATGTAATCCCTTGAACTGTACGGAGGGAACGAATGAAATACCCACAACTCAACCTCCTACCACTCACCTTTCTACAACTACTGGAACATATTCTGCTACTGCAACAACTACTACCAAAAAACCTACTGCCACACCTACTACTACAACACCGAAATCCTCAGCTCGTGTTGTTATCGCTACAAAGTTCGTCGTGGTATGTTTTGCGATGTTGATTACTCTTCTTGAAATACATGACATTTGAATATTGTCTGGTTTGTTTCTGAAGATAGAAACAAGCGAGGACCTTTCGTTATTCCCATATTTCTTAGCTATAAACAGTATATTATTAATGATGATTGCACGTATATATATTAAGTATTTCTTTAATTTTATTGTAGCAACATGCTTTGCACTCTATAATCATAATTCTCTTTTGACATGTAATCGCAGTATATTCATTTCAAATAATATTTCAGAAATGTATGGCTGTGTTTCATTATCCAGTAAATAGACTAAATTGCCAAATATATAATATTTCCCAAGGGCAGAGCTGGTGAATTATAGGGGGCAGAGCTGGTGAAACGTCATAAAGGAGACCCTAAGAATAGTTAACGCCTCTCAAATACAGGCCCAGACATTTTGGTCTTCTCCCAAAACCTCTCCAACAAGCAACGGCCGGGAAATCGATCGAGTGGACTTTGTGCCGAGGTAATGAGAGTTTGTAAATTAATAGATACAAAAAATGGCTATAAAATCTTTTCTAGATAAAATAAAAGATTTAACTAATTCTTCCCTATAGTTTTAGTCATTATCAACATTGTAGCGATTTATGGGCCTTTGAAAGTCAAACACGATCATATTGTATCAAATTACGCAATTGTCTGAACAAAAATATAGACTAGCCATACCTTTCGCCGAAAATAACTTCGGCCCGTTCGAACATATCGTAACTACAGTTTTAGTCTTTTTTTTAAGTTATATTATAAAAGAAATAGAAAACATTTTATCCTGTGTTTCTACACAGTTAAAATACTCATTAAAAATTCATAAACCTTGTGGCAAATCATGTCAGCCATAATATGTCACGTGGAGTGACTTTATATCTGATAAAACTCATCTTCATTAGTATTCTTTATATAATTGTTCATCCTAATTAGTATGATTATATAATTGTTCATCCTGATTAGTATTCTTTTGTAGTCGTATTTTAAGCCATTCAAAACACTCAAACTCGCGTTTTATCATATCTAAAACGTTCGGCTGCGCCTCGCGTTTTAAATATGATAAAACACTCCTTCTCGTGTTTTAAATAGTATACATATAAATAAGGCCTACTTTGGGGGCCAAGGTCGCCTAATTTCGCCTAATGTCGCCCATGTGCACCCAATTTTTGAACTTTTCCTAACAGTCTATTTGCTTAATGTCTCCTAATTTCGTCTAATGTCGCCCAGTTTCGCCCAGCGACGCATACTACTTTTCTTTGAAAATTGCCAATGTCGCACAATGTGCACATAATAACGGCGACCTTGGCCCCCAAAGTAGTCCTCAGATATAGAAACACTTGTGATAGTTTGGGAGAACTCGAAATCTATTTCTCGTTTTCCAAAACTCTCACGCGTGTTTCTATAACTGCTTAGAATTGGCTCCAGTCTTTGTTGTTTACTTTCATTGGACTCGGTCAATAAGATTTTAGTTAAAATTCTTCTCAGTCCGTGTGTCGAATCACTAGACTGTTGCGGTGATAATGTATTATTTGCGTTTCTAAAATGTTTCAATAATTAATAGTGCAGTTTCGAGTGCAGCTTGGAAAAACATGCTCGAGTGGGTTTTTCAAAATCAAACACGATCACACTGTATATATATTGCATGAGTCCCAAGGACGAGTGCAATTTGAAGTCTTTGAAAAACTGACGATTGAATTTTTTTTCAAATGCACGAGAAACCATACCCTATTACTTATTAATAATATCCATGAAAACATTTGCATAAGCAAATTCAAAGTTCCTAGCATGACACATATGCAAGACAAATTATTTACTCACTCTAAGTAACACATCAACTTAATGCAACTTTTCTCAACTGTCTAAAGTCAAAACTTTATTGAAAATGGCTTTAGCCTTGAATTTCCGCACTACATTGAATTCAACAATGTCTTTGTGAATGAAATTCCGAATTATTATACATGCGGGGTTAGCCAGTTATGTCTGCTGATAAGGAGAAATTCTACTGCTGAAAACTACAAGGATGAAATTCGCAAATTTCTCGTTGCATCCTTAATAACCGAAGTTTTGTTAGTATTGACTAATAATGGCTGCACTTGCCAGGACAAACATACAGCATCTTTAAAGATTATCGTTATTGATGTTCTATTTTCTCTCTTTGAACACAAGGAATTGCTATACTCAAATAAATTGTATTTCTTCCCATTGGTCAATGAATTTATCAGACTCGGTCATCTCATTAGCAATAAATAATTTGCAACGCTTCACTCCTGTTTGGCTGCTAATACGTACCGTAGTCATTACGATTTTTGTTGATTAAAATGCCTGCGAGGTTGCTAATTCTTCTTGTATTCGTGCTTGGCACAGTTTATGCCGAGCCATACAAGTGCAGAGGTGTTTATAATCCATCAGATTATATTGGAAAACTTCGAGTTCCAAACAACTGTGAT